CTGCCTCTGCCTCTGCCTCTGCCTCTGCCTCTGCCTCTGCCTCTGCCGGGATTTTAGGCGTGTGCCTCCATACCTGGCTTCCGTTCAACATTTTCAGGCATTAAGTGCAAGCAGCACTCAAATAGTTTTTTTCTAGGTATCTCTGCCACCGTTCTACCTTGGGCCGTTGGCTAATGGAGCTCGTAAGGACTTGGGAGGTTTCGGAGGCCTTTCCCCCTGGTCTTCTGGAGGTTCAAGTGTCTGGGAAGCGGCAGTGGACGAAGAAGCTCTGGGGCCTTCACCCTTTCTCTAACTAGAACAATCTTGCTTTTATTTTTTTATTGTGAATTTATATTCATGCTGTCTGGGCGTGGGAGCCATGGTGTATATATGGAGGGCAGAGGACAACTTTGTATAGTCCGTGTTCTCCTTCTGCCCTGTGTGGGTCCTGGGGATTAAACATGGGTAATCAAGCTTGTATCTCACTGACCCTATTTGTTTCACACATTAGATTTCCTGCCAGACTTTTTTTTTTTTCAGAAAATAAAGGGGGGTTGTTAAATTATAAGTCAATCTCTCTGATACGGTAATATAATTTTATTGACAAAGAAACTGAGATAGGGAGCAGGGAAATTCTATCTCAAAGTCCACACCGCCAATAAATTTTACAAGTGGCCTCCAAATCTCACCATTATTTTTTTTCTCGGTAGTGCTGAGGATTGTGGGGATTGTGTGTGTGACCACTAGTCAAGGGCTCTGCCACGAAATGGTATCCCCGAGTCCTCAGTCCTTCTAATTAGAGATCGTCTCTGTCATTTCCATTTTACCTTATGGTTCACCAAGACTTTCTGGCTACCACTCTAATCTCTAGAACAGCATTTCTTCTGATCTATCATGTATTTACTGAAACAGGGTCTCGCTGTGTATTAACTAGCACCCTGTTCCCTCGCTGTCCAGTCTCCCTCTTGCTCTATTTTGCTTACCCCACGACTATCTTTGTGTTCGCAGTCTGGTGTTTTGAAGCAGCTTTACTATCTAGCCACTTCCGGTGTTTGGCCTCCCCACCCTGCTGTCTCTGCCGCCTCCCAGTGCTTGGATTTCAGGTTCTTACCCTCTGCTATTTTTTGTGACTCTTGAAACATTGCCAGGCCTGAGATTTCTCTGCTTGACAGCCTCCTCCACGTGTGCGCCATGTGCTGGGTCCCTGTCATGCACACGTGCAATGAATAATAATAGCAATGATGGTGAAGTTTAGCAGAAAGAGGCATCTGTCTATAGTGGGGCAGGATAGAAAGGGAAATTACTGGGTCAGGAGAAAGGAAGTGAGACTCTCTGGAGTCTCAAGCCGCTTATTAGCCGGAGAGAATTCTAGAACAATTAACACCTGCTGGAAAGTCTGCCCGCATAGAAATAATATTTAGGTATGAAGACGTTGTTTTACACTTTTGAAAGCTACATTAATTTATTTGGTGTGTGTGAGTGTGTGCTTGTGTGTTCGTTGTGTGTACATGTGAGCTTATGTGCCCTGGCAAGTCACAGCACATGTGTGAAGGTCAGAGGACTTGCAGGGGGCAGATCTCTTCTCCCACCATGTGGTTTCAGGATCAAGCTCAGGGTGCT